CCCGAAAGACCACGGGTACCACTGAGGCCTTGACCTTCCAGGTTTTCTCCAGCTTTTCTCTGAGCCCCTGGTATTTCTCTAGTTTCTACCTTTGAGACAGATGGTATTGCTATGTCAACCACAACGGCTTCCCTCTGCTGTTCCTCCTTGCTAGAACGGTGCTTTTGTACCTCGTCAATTTCAAGTTGTGAAAGCAGTTGTCGTTTATGGATGTTAGAAAATTGAGTTACTAGTTGTTTAGCTATTATTGTAGACTGTGGGTATTGAAGTCTCCATTTCTCCCACACCCTGTGCATAATAGCCTCTCTGGTTAGGGTTATTGAGATATTAACATTGTAATAGAGCCCTGTTCATATCTTCTCCTTTTCCTTCATGTTGTCCAGTAGCCCATTTGAAATCAAGGTGCTCTGGTTCCCCAACACCTGATGCAGACCTTGTTTGGCCGGGCGACATCTGAGCTAGAATGTCATTCATTATATTGTCTCTCATTACCATGAACGGTCTTGTCTAAGGACACGCATGGACATCTCTCTCTCGAAGCTATTCCTCCGCCGATAGTAGCACAAAGGGTCTTGTCGCCAGTCCATCGCAGGGCAACACAGAGACAAACATGCCAAACAACCATTCACACACACACTCACACCTAAGGGGAATTTAGAGAAGCCCATTAACCTAACAGTCATGTTTTTTTTGGACTGTGGGAGGTAGCCGGAGTACCCGGAGAGAACCCATGCATGCTCAGGAGGAACATGCAAACTCCATGCAGAAAGACCCCAGGCCGGGATCGCTCCTGTGCCCTTTTGACCAGTGAGGTGGTGTTTACATTCCAGGTGAGGGAGTCTGTGATGTGCACCCCCAGGAATTTGGTGCTGTTTACCACCTTTACAGCTGAGCTCTTGATGAGCAGTGGACCGTGGTCAGGTCAGTTCTTCCTGAAGTCCAAGATGATCTCCTTCATTAAAAAGGTCAACTGTCTAATCAAGTAGTCAGCAGCGCAAACAAACCACATGAGAGTACTCTCACCATTCCTTTTCACACAGTACACCCATTACTTCCATTAAAAGACAGACTCATGGAATCTGCCGAAATAGTCCTCTTGGATGACTCTGTAGTCGCTGGGTGAATCAAAGATGGAGAAGAAGCTGCGTACAGGGAGCTTGTGAGTCATTGTGTAAAATAGTGTGTGATCAATTATGTGATCCTGAATGGCTAGAAAATCCTCTAGAACCTCTGGAGATAACTGTACAAAGAAGAATTCTTGATAAAGTAATTAAAATTATTGAGAACAGTGAGCATTCCCTTCAGAAGATTGTTAAAGCATGACAGAGTGTCTTCAGTTACAGGGCTCTTAAAGATTTGGTGCAAGGCAGACCTCTACAGAAGATCCTCCCTGCCTTCAGCTATCAACCCCCATAACAACTAATTAAAAAACATTGCATGAGTTACTGCAACTTTCAATTTCTCTTTGGGATTAATAACGTTTTGTCTTTTTACTCAATTAATGATGAACACAAACAGAATAAATGAATATAAACAAATGCATTAATAACTTTATGAGAAGGCAAATATGAAAGGAAATCATATGGATTTTTTTTTTAATGAATCCATCAGCCATGCCATTTTCTGCATCAGTAATCATGCTTACTGTTGCAAATTTCAAGCTTAAGCCATGCTGAACCCCTTGTAAAACAAATGCTTCAAAATATACGTACATCTGGTCCTAAACGTCTGATCAGTTTGATTCTAATGCACTATTTTCAATCAACCCTGCTGTTAAAATCCAGACCTATATTAATATCTACTGGACCTCACAACTTAAAATACTTAAAATACACAACTGAGTGTACAGATTTGAAATTTTGTTACAGATTTGTGCAGACCTTCTACCTACAGCAGTGAACATCTCCAACAACTCATTAAAAAAAAACATAGTTCATGAAAGTTTATTTACAATAATTATTCCTTAAATAAATAAAATCTGCATCACAAAAGCATAAATGATGTTTTAGAAAAATGTAAAAGATTGGTGATGACATTTGGAAGACACCTGATGCTTTAAAAGAAAGAAACATAATTTGCACATAGTCAAAATTTATTTAAAACTTTCCCCTGCTCTCGTTTAAATCCTGTTTCCTCATTTACCCCACAGAATGTACTAAAAAGTATTATACCTGTATTATAAAACAGCTTTTGGGAGGACCAGTAATGGTTTACTTGGCTGAGAGTCATATCATCTGACAGTGTGTACCAACTGCAGGAGAAATAATTTACAAATAGTCAAAAACTTCCTTTTTATATCACACTTTTTACAGTGCTGATTTTCATTTTATTTCCATGGCTGCTTTGCATCACAGATAGTGTTGGAATCTCTCTTCAGTGGAAGTATTACAGCAAAGTAGCAACTGCATACTTGCAATTTCGTTCTCATACAGTGCTTAAGAAGACTTGAATGGGCTGGAATGGGAAAGGCTAAATATAATTCCTATTGGGATTCATGTAAGCTTTGTTAGGAAGGGAAATAATGATAGAAGTCACAGTGTCCTGTTCAAAACTCCTCAGGGGTCAGCCTCTAGGAAGGATTTCTTGGATGACATTTCAAAGGTTTGAAATTATGTTAATACGCTAAACATGTAATGCCTCTTCACAACTGTTAAATGGTTTGAATAAAGAATCAGAAAGTGCATTCAATCAGGTAGTTATAACTGAAAATAAATATGGTCTGATATTTTTATGTAAATTTAAGCACTTTATCACGTGTTGGAAATTAACAATTAGGTCCCAGTTTTTATTTTTATCTCCCATGTTTCTCAAGTTATTTTATATAATTACACTTTACAATATAGAGATGTTATGTGATAACTAACACAAATAAGTACATAACTGTGCAGCATAAGATAATTAATACATGGTATTGGTCACTTTTACAAACTGAAATCAGAAAAGTAAACATACACTTGTATTACCTTCTAAGTAAACAGAAGTACACATAAGTACATTACAAAATCATGTTTCCCTGTTGTTATCTACCAGTTTTGCACATTTTAAGATTAAAAAGGTTGGTCCATCCTTTTTATAAAAATAGATCAAGTGCAGCCTGACCAGATTAAGATATCTGTTAAAGCAGTTTACAGAGTTTTGACTCTGTAAACAGTTTTTGACTGTTTATATCTACACTTTTATCTGGATACTTTTGCCAGAATACCCTGTATTTAGCTCCACCAACCTTCCCATGAACTCTAAACTCTTTCCCTATTACTACTAAAAAAAAGTCCTTCATGTTTCATAGTAAGGTTACTGTGCATTTGATTCACAATAAACAGTATCAAACAAGAAGGTCAATCTTGGTCTCATCTGATCAGCTTATAAAAAAGTTTGTTTGTGGAAAAATGATATGGGACCTCTTAAGGGTATTGTGGAGAATTTTTGGTGAATTTTTTAAAAGACCCCAATAAGGACATCTTTATCTATATTTCACCCTTGTTTAGAGTAGAGAGGAAAATGCTATTTATCACCCCTGCTTCAACTTCCTACATTCCATCAGATACTGGAACAAGGCTTTTAAACAATCACCCTTATTTAGGCAGATAAAAGGCACACTCAAAACATTTTATCTCACAAATAGGACAATAAAAAACATGCTCTCACAGTACATCAAATAAAATACATTTTTATGAGAACACAAAAGAGAAGTAAAATTGTATCTGTTATCAATCCTAAATTTGATCCTCTTCACTTGATTGTGCTCTGGTGAGTTTGTTTACTCCCACCTGTACAGTTTCATTGGCAGGTTTATGAACTGAGAAGGAGGAGTAACAACACAGGAGGGATCAGATCTAAAACTAGATCAGTTCAGAATGAAGGCAGACTCAGCTTCAAGCAAAATGGAAAGTGGTAAGAACCTTTAAATATACAAAAGGGATTTTTTTCGTCATTTATATTGAAATTATATGCAATTCTACTGTATGTTGTCAAATTTGCTTGAAAGTACTGTAGATATTCAATAGCAGAAAGTTATTTTAAGGCAATACAAGTTTATTCATATATAACAATTCAGTACAGAGAGAATCTAAAGTCTGAAGGCTCAGGTCTGAGTCCATCATGACACATTACATCTAGCCAATGCTCTGATGGGTTCATAGTCAGATGGTGACATTGTGATGTAAAGGTGTTTGTCGTCTGCATTGTTATGGTAACTGATCTGATATTGTTTGCTATAATCTGAGCCAAGGGGAGCATGTAGATGTTGAATAGTTGGTGCCCCATAAAAGAGCCTGAGGAACCCTGCAGTGTCTGATTTATGGTTCCCTACTGACACACATAAGTGTCGTTCAGGTAGGATTCAAAACAGTCCAAGGCTGTACCAGAAAGGCCGACCCAGTTTTCCAGATGCTCTTAATAAAATCAAGTGATTAACAGTATAAAATGCTGCACAGAGGTCCAATAATACTGTGGTTCTTCCACAGTCTGAACTTATAAGAATGTCATTGAACAGCTTAAACCCACACTAAGTAACATTTTCTATGCTGTCATAGGGATCAGTGCCAAGTGTCTACAGAGGATGTTCAAATGGAGGTCTCAGTGAATCATTTTCTCCCTTATTTTTTGCAACTGTCATCTACTGATTTGCCTTGAGTGTTTTGAACTAGAATTAAAAGCCTCAGATTACTATTACTATCTTGCATATTTTTTTTTTTTTTTTTTTTTTTTTTTGCATGAGGAAAAAAATATTGTAATAAGAATCTTCTGGTTTGGATTTTCCTGTTTCATGATCAGCAGAAGAGATTATTACAGAAAAGCTTTTTTTCTGGTCTGAATTTTGTTTTTGGCCAGAAGGGAGTTATTGGCATGTTTGGTCCAAGTTTTTGGATGATTGGATGATTTACTTTGGATCATTCCAAAACTAATTTCAACATAAGAGCAAAGCCCTGTTAAAGGAAGTCACTAAACAATAGTGTGCACAATGGAGGTATGGAGAAAAGGACATTGTAGTCCAAATTTTATATGATTTTATATCAAGGTGATTGTTTTAGCTGGTTGTGCCATGTCACTGTCGGCCTTTGTGGGCTTGTCTTGCTAGCAGCTGCACAAAAGAGAGGGAGGAGTAATTAGAGAGAAAAGGAACACTGATAAGATGAGACATGAATCAACTCAGAATGAAGACAACGTCCTGCAAATGCCAGCATAATGGGTACTGGTGAGTTGCTTAAACAAATAAGAACATTTGTTGTTTAAACAGAAGTGTATGATTAATTAAAGTGTTTGTAAAGTTTTGATTTATACTAATTTATTAATGTTTGTATTAAGTTTATATATTAATGTTTGTTGTGAGTGATTGTAGTATGTCAACTTAAATAAATATATTGAAAAAGATCCGCTTACATCTTATGTTTCATACGATTTTGTTAGATTCTTAAACAAAAAACTTGTTTTTGTTTAACATCCATCGGTTGGGTAAGTTAAATTGTTTAGGTCAGCTTAAGTAACTGTGGTTTCAAATATTTTTTTTTTATTATTTGAACTTAAAATTTATTTAAAAAAAAAAAACTAGGCTTAAACAATATCACAAACTGTAGGTATAGGTTGTGTACTAAATTATAGAACTATGACATGTATTTTTATGCAGCACATATAAAGTTTAATTCTCAGAACTTTGTTTGGGATATTTCTGCTGATTTACCAAGGCTAGCTGCAATCAGAAACAAGATAAGATTTTGTGAATGCATCATTGCATGTAGAGAAAGGCAGTTTGTCTGTTGCACAGAGTATGCACATTCTCTGTTGATGCACTTTGCAGATCTTTTAAGAATTGTTTTCACTTCTCTTCTTCAGATAACCAAACCATAGACCATTCATCTGGAGATGAAGTGGCTGAAAAACTCATACGCACCTTCTCCCTGTTCATGTACTGCATGATTACTGTGGTTGGGACTGTAGGCAATGGCCTAGTCATCTACGTGACAGGCTTCAAGATGAAGAAAACTGTCAACTCTGTGTGGTTTTTGAACCTGGCTCTGGCAGATTTCCTCTTCACAGCCTTCCTGATTTTTTCAGCTGTCTCTCTCTATCAGGAGTACCACTGGCCCTTTGGAAACTTCATGTGCAAGCTCAACAGCTTTGTGAGCGTAGTCAACATGTTTGCCAGTGTCTTTTTTCTGACAGCCATAAATTTAGACCGTTGTTTGTCCACCTTGGTGGTGGTGTGGGCACAAAACGAGCGCACCGTCCATAAAGCTCAAATCATGAGTGCTATTATCTGGTTGGCGGCTGGGATCTGCAGCACACCTCAAACCTACTTCCGTACCCTGGTACCAGGGGAGGGTAACCGGACCTTTTGCATGTACGACAATTCTACCATGACAGAGGAACAAAAGTGGGGTCTGTACACTTTTCGTTTTGTTGTTGGCTTCCTCGTCCCGTTCATGGTCATGCTTTTTTCATATTTGGCCATAGGAATCCGTTCCAGGCGCTTGCAACAAATGAAGAAACAGATATCTCACCGGATTATTTGTTTCATTGTCGCTGCATTCTTCATCTGCTGGTTGCCATTTCATGTTCTAAGTTTTATGGAATTAACCTTCCCTAATTACAAGAAACTTCAGAAGATTGGAGGTCCTCTGACTATGAGTCTAGCTTTCCTGAACAGCTGCCTGAACCCCATCCTCTATGTTTTCATCCGAGTTGACTTCCAAGACAAGCTTCATCAGTCGGTGTGCTTTGTTCTAGAACATGCTCTGGAAGAGGACCACTTGTCATCCACATTTCGTTCTGTGCCATCAAGGGCTGCTAGAAAATCAGAGTCCTCTTCTCCTATCTAGTGTAAATATGTAGTTATTTCCAAAACGTTATATCGATGGCACTGAGGGGACCTGAAACCATTTTTTTTTTCCCAAACGGATCTTGAATGTCATTAAACTTTTTACAGAAAAAATTTTTTTTTACCCTGTTTTGTTTGACATGGTTTCTCAACAGTAGGTAATTATTTCCTCCAATATTATGTTTTTAAATGAAATGCTTGTAACTTGACATTGCACATTACAGTCTAATTTTGAACAAGGAAGAAAACACCAGTTGTTCTATCATATAAATTCTTAGGATTTCTGACTGTTTAGGACATTGCAGAAACAAGTGTTAGAGCAGCTGTGTCAGCATCCTGAGGTAGTTGGTTTTTAATGGTCGTTCATGTAGTTTGATAATTTTAATTCTGTTTAGTACAATCTTTAAGTCTTGCTTTCTTTAGCTATTTTGCTATGTTTTTTTTAGTTTGTTTATGTTTAGTTAATTTAATTCATTTTTATTAATTGTTATTAATTGTTGCTTTCCATTTAAATCCTCTTTTTCACTTGGATTTCTGTTAGATTAGTCCTTGGGTTTCTTATGTTTCTGCCTGGTCTGTTCCTCTAAGTTAATTAGTTTTAGCTCCCTCAGATGCTCTCTCCTTCAACTTTAACATGTTATCTCTGAGTTGTTTTTTCCGGTGTCACTTTCATTTCTTTATCACGGCCTCTGTATTTATACTGCCTGGTTTCCTTTTATTCTCCACAGTGTGGGGCAAATCCTGCCATTTAGACATATCGCCACTTCGACATTGACAGATTTTTTCATAAACGTCCCAATTATGACATATATATATATTTTTTCAGACTAGTGTGGGAAAGTATAATGATGAATCACAAATATCTAATTATAACTTTATTTTGCAAATTATTATCTAAAACTTAAAAAGAAAACTCCCTCTTGTGCCAGGATACTTGTAAGAGATATGTTACGTTCACGCTGCAGCCTGAAGTTACCCAAATCTGATTTTTGCCCAGGCGACCTGTATCTAATCTTTACATGACAGTCTGAACAACACAGATCTGATTTTTTTTAAATGTGATGCAGGCCACTTTACCATCTGGTCCTAAATACAATCTTTTCAAATGTGACCTGTCACATTCATCTGACCTCAACGTCATTAATACTCAACGAAGGTCCCTATTCTGAATCTTGCAACACAGAAGGAGGAATATAGATAATAGATGATAATACAGAGAGCAGTCTATCTTTTTGATCTTCTTGAAAAGGTTGAGTTGTTGATGTGTTGGCACCAGTTGGAAAAGTAATGACAGAGAATTAGATGTACTCCAGCACTGCCAACCACATTTATTCCGTAAAGACAGAGCTTGCTCGCTATTAGTGACATCATTGCATCCTCTACTGTGCATGTGGGCAGTTAAGCTGTATGAATGCAGTTCAAACGGGGAAATTCATACAAGTTGCATATATTCAAAAATGTGAACGACCACACAAAACAATTGTATTTCACACACAAAAAAAATTGGAATTGAGCAATAAGGCCTGCAGTGTGAAGTTACACTTAAAAAGGTCCTAATCCAAAGAGAGGACCAAACCTGGTCAAGGTGTGTATTGTGAGAACAGACTGAGGAGTAGGGACTGTGTATCTTTAAAATTGGTGAGGTACCTGGAGTGCTTCAGACTACTTTTCAGAAGCTAGGGGACAGGAAGATTCAGTCTCATTTGGATGCATCAATTTATGAATAAATGTTTTAATTTGATCTCTAACTCCTGTTTATTTCTGTCTTCTCCTGTCTGTCAACCAGTGAATCCTAATTTGGTAATGTAGCAACAGAATCTCTTATTTAACCTTTACACTAGCAAAACTTAAAAAGTTGTTTTAACATATCAGCATTCTGACAGGCATGACCATAAGCATCTTTATGACATTGCAGCCCCAGCAATTATCAGAGTACCAGAGTGTGTGTGTTTGTGTTTGTGGCAATGTCTTTAATGCCTGATGGGGACAATTTCCTAGGAATATGCTACATTTTGGGGACTCATAGGTACTTGTGGGGACCAACAACTGGTCCCCATAAGGAAAGTTTCTCTTCTTGGGGTGGGGGTTAGGTTTAGGACTAAGGTGTGAATTGAGTTTAGGTTAGGTTTAGGGATAGGTATGTGTCGGTAATGGTTAGGCCATATAAATTAGTGGGAAATGAATGGAAGTCAATGGAAGGTCCCCACAAGGATATTGTGACACAACATGTGTGTGTGTGTGCTGGTCTTTCCCCTCACTGACATGCAGCTTATTGCACACATCTGTATGTTGTTTAACCCCTTTTTGCTAACCTGTTGTGTCCTGGGCCCCCTCCCAGTAATCCTCCATTTTCTCATAAATTATTCCTAAGCATGCCTGTCTTTTTGGTGCAAACTGATCAAGTTAGTTCATTATACTTTATACGGTTTTGTTAAATAAATCCTTCGCCAGCCTCAGTAGTTTTCAACTGGTTTCACTAAAGTGCTTTGTGTTGGCTTTGTGTAAAGAACACACAGTCCTTTGTATTGCATATCTACAATGATAATAATAATAGTACATGTATTCATAATGTATTATATTATAATATTTAATGATAATATAAGTAATTATGATAATAATACATTGTTAATATTATTATTGTGGTGGGCCCTTTTGCAAATTTTAAAATATTTCTTCTTGCTGCTGATACCAGTGGTCAGCAAATGTCATAGTGGAGGCATGTCGATGGTCATAGTGGAGGCATGTCATTGTGAGAGGGTTGTCGTAGTGGAGGCCGTGTCTGAATATTGGGCTGTTGGATTGTGGGTATGTCGGAATAAAGGTTGGACCCCACTCTACCCTTCTGTTAACAAGTTTTCCTCACAGTTGAGTGCAGTCCTCTATGCATGTTCCAAGCTCTGTTATGTAAGTATCAGCATTGATATTACTGTATTGTTACCTTTTTGTAAAACCAACTCAACTAACTCTGCTGCTTTCAAACTGCTTTTTGAATGGTGACCAACACCTAACTTTTTCAAAATGACAGACAGCCTCTAAACATTAAGGGGGGTTTTTTTTCTTCTTTTATTCTTACAGTAAACTCCTTACAGTTGATTGGGATAATTTTACTTTTTTGTCATGTCAAATTTCTATTATCAAATAAAAGGACATTTTGGTTCTGGGGGTATTGGGCCTGTATTGTGTCTTTTCACTGAGCCATAGATGTCTGGAAGGCAGAGCTGTGGAGTTAGTGAAATCCTTTTTCTGACCGGAATAGACAGAACATTGACAAAGACTGTATCTGTTCTACATGCAGAGTAGGAACGAAGACCAGTTACAGGTGAGCTTAGCCTTTTCACTAAACTCTCTCTTCATCCCAATAGACCAGTGCAGCATCTGCATTATGGAAGCAGCCTCATCAGTCCGTCTGTTGATTTCCTGCTACATTCTTCCCTCACTTGTGAAGAAAACCCCAAGATACTTAAAGCCGGGCATACACTCTGCACGCAGCTACAGCTACAGCTCAAACTGCACAACAAAACCGCAGGGTTTAAAAGCTCACAGCTCACGATGTATGTTCTCACACTGTGCACCCGGACGCTCTGATGTGATCTACCTTCTCACAATGGTCATCCAAAAACCGCACATCAGACTGAGCGCCGAGAGATGGTGCTGGTTGGACTCGTCAATCTGGAAGACAGAGAAGAACTCCCTTATTTGCACATGTTCAATGCTCAAGGTTTTGGTAAATTGGCTCGTAGATGCTTGTGGCTCTGCTTCAACAGCAGGAATTGTCCACAAACAACTTACGATGGCGAACTGAATTTCAAACATGTTTGATTTTCTCCCAACCTTACGTTTCCTGATCGGGACGTGGTCAAGAGAAGCTAATCGCCCCTCATTACCCCCCTGTACTACACAATGCAGGATGCACGATGAGGCTGCAACGGGGCCTGATTAAAAAGAAATTCTTGGATGACTGGAGAATTGGCCTGAAAAGGCCCGCAAAAAATCGAACATTGTATGCCATGCTTAAGGAAGGAACTCTGCTCCAACCTGCGAGGGCTCCTCTGGCCTCTCGCTATGCCTAAAAATCGTGTCCATGAGGTAATGAACAAGACCTGGGACAGAGGGAAGACACGTCTGAATCCAACAGGCACCATAAACAGGTCCAAATTAATGTATGCAAGCTCGTTCTTCGCTTGTACAGAGATGCGATTGCCCCTAGTAAAGGGCCTTTTAATCCCATGCACAGGATAGGTCGCCTCACAGGTAGTTATAGATGGGTCACCTGTGGCTGCTTTGAGAACAGGTTCAAGCCCATCATCTTTAACCATGATGGTTGATGGGCTGGCAGCTTGTGCCAATCCACTGAGCAAGGAGATTGTAGTTTGATAAACATAACTATATATATTTGCATGACACAAAGTCATTAAAGAATCTTTTCAAGTACACCAATATTGGAAATGTCATGATTTCTGATTTAGGGGTGATCATACAGAAACAGGCGCATAATGAGGTGATGAATGCCAGTGATGCATGAATGAGTATAAGTATTCCAGTTAGAATTTGTGTCTACTTCATTTTGCACTGAAGCACTTAAAGCATATTTGTTCCAGAAATGTTTTATTTGACAGGATGGCAGGTGGACCTGTGGTTTTATTCACTGTTTACAATAATACAAATGCTACCCTATTCCGAAAGTCATTTCAACAGGTAAAAAAAAGATTATACTTAGTGAGGGAAGACTGGATACTACCATGGAACAAAATCAGCCAACTGATTGTAGAAATTTTCTGGATGTGTCATCAGGACGGCTTCGAAATTTGTGATTTTTCCAGAAAATAAAAAATTTCTTATTCCTGACTGATCTTTAAATGAGTTAGTTAAATATTTTAGACACGGTTTTGGTGTCTATAAGGAGACGTGTCCAAATCCACATTTTGTTTTACTAATGTAAACATGGTCATCCTCTTCAAACACAAACCTAAATTTCCAAATTATTGGCTCTCTGAAACTCACTAAAAGTTTGTCAGGAGAGAGAAAAACATGTTTGAAGAAAA